GAAGGATTTATCTCGCTTGCAAATCATCAGTTTGGGCAGGGCTCATTAGAGAAGAGCTATTTGTGCTTTACTTGGCTTCTGCTAAAAAGTGAGCTGGATTCTGGAGCCATCTTAAGGTCTATTTCCTTATGTGTCTAGTGGTTGATACTGGGAAGAAGCAGATAGCTGGAGGCTGGCAAGGTCAGAGCTCCTTGGACATTGCTACCCATCTCTACAGGAGGTCTCCACGTGGTCTCTCTTGCATTGCAGCTTCAATGTAGCTGAACTTCTTACTTACTGGCTCAAGATTCTCAAAGAACATAGCCCAAAGGGTTGTGTGAGGCAAAGTCATATTGCCTTTACTAGCTGGCCTAAGAAATCACAGAGGAAGTCTGCCAAAGTCTATGGATTGAGACAGTTACATATGTCCACCAGGTTTAAGTGGAGGAGACATAGGTCCCAAATCTCAGTGGCAGAGTATCAATGTCACAGTGTAGGAAGAGCATTTGCAATATGACATACATTGATTTGGCCATCTTTAATAAATATTATCTGCTATATTTTCCTTCCTCTAATATGTGCTGATCTGCAGACCTGTGAATTCTCTCTCATTGCTTAATAAGCAAAATAACTCACAGTGTCTGAGGCCTCAGTCTGACCCCTTTAACAGAACAACTGAAAATAATAAAAAAGATTAAGAAAACATCCATAGTACATACCATCCCCAACATTTCTGCACATGGGGACTGCATTGGGATCAGACAGAACTGAGCCTGAATATTGACTCTGTCATTTTCAACTCAGGTGTCATCTGTAAAAAAGCATGAATTCCTATCTCACGGTAGTTATGGTGATTGAATGAGATACTTCATGTAAACCCTGAGCAGAATACTTGCCCATATGGCTGCTGGGTTTCAGAGGAGAGTGGTAGTCATGGTGATAGAAATTAATAGTAGTAATATCAGTGAAGTACTTTAGAAATGTCTCCTTTGAATCATCTCTATAGATTTTTTCTGCTATTCACCTAAATTCCACAGTAATTATGCTCCTTTTAGTCTTATACCACCCAAGCTCATAAACATTAGTGCTTAGAAACTCATGCATATCTGATGAATGCACATTGGCTTGAATTAAACAGCATCACATCCAGTTTTCTCTAAAAATAATACCTCAGTTCTGTTCTTTGTTCAGTCAGTGAGTCACTGTGGAACTTAGCCCTGGTAAGTTTTGTGCATTTTGCACAATTATAATATTGTACCTCTCCCATTGCAGAAGACCTATTGGTCAGCAGAAGTCTTTTTCACTTGTAGTGTGTGTGCGTTCCAAAAGGAGACCTCTGCTCTCAGTGAACCCTATGAGCCCATCGGTAGCCCCTACATTTTCTCCTTCTATTCATTGCCCCTATGGTGCCTGCTATTTGTGTTCCCATTTTTCACAAAACTTCAAACTCTCTCACAGGCTTGTTGCGTGGGTCACCAGCCAGCAGTGACCACGGAACGCTGCAGGTGGCTCAACGATAAACACGCGAGAAAATACACATACACAGAGACAAACTAGTTTCTGTGGGGAAGTAGGGATGAAGTGGCCACCCTCCCTAGTGGGGAGTGCACCGATTTACAGTCCATACCTGCTTTTATTGGGCTCATTCTGCATAATAATTCAGGTAAAGTACAGAAGTCATTAGGGGGAAGTAAGGAATCATAGAAAACAAAGAACTCTGCCAGTCTATTGAGTCGGGGTCAAAGAGCTGTAAGACTGAGGAACAAACTAACTTCCTCCTAAGACCCTTCTCATTCAACTGAGAGCATTCTAAACAAAGAAGGTTTCACAGTAATTTACATGTTCTTTCTTAGGCCTGATCACCCCGGGGAATCCGCACTTCTCAGCACAGAGCTGCACCACCCTGTCATTGTTTCAGGCTTAGGTGGAGCAAGGGAACTAAGGCAACTGAGAGACAAGGAGGTTTTTTCCCAGACGCTGAGAACTCAGGCTATGTCAAAGCCGAGGAGCAAGGGTCCATCACCCCCTTTTGCTGCAGCCCCCCAAGTCCTTCCTTTGGGGGGCCTCCCAAAGTGATCATGCCTTTCTTAGGTCGTTCCCCCCGTGGGGAATCTTACCCATCTTTGGCTAACCGACCAAGCTTTTTGGGGTTCAGTCATGCATAAAGCAACAGAAGCAGCATTCCTGCCAGGAAGATAAGCTTTTGTCTCCTTGCTGGCTTACGGTTCCAAGGGCGTTCCCTTGGCCTTAGCCTAGGCGGGGGTTTCAGCTTCTGATACCAGTCAGGGCAGTTCCCAACACAGGCTCTCTTGCACTGCTGTCCTGCTCTTACTCTCAAGTTCTGCATTTCACTGAGAGTTTGTAGAATTTTTTAAGGCAAGTGGTATGTGTTCTACTTCACTAATTCTTTCATTCACAAATATATACTTAACACCCACCCCTGGCCAGACACTGTTCTTAGCCCTGGGAATTCACAGAGAGTTTCACAAATGTCCTGTCTTAGGCTAGACTGCCCCAGAAGCAAACTTGGGACATGGATTCATGTGCAAGTCATATACTTGGGAGGTGGTATCAGGAATCACAGTAGGGGAGTAAGGAAGTGGGACAACAAAGTATGGAGTCAGTAAGGGGTGTGTTTTTCAGTAAGTTAAATACTGTGGAGAATTGGAGCTTGATCCTGTTGCGGAACCTGGGAAACAGTGCAGACCACATTTCTCAGAGTTGTCCCACTCAAGGGGTAAAAGAGTGGAGTGTTATACTCTTACTAGCTCCCATCAGGGCTGCTCACAAGAAGGTCATGTTAATTCCTGGGCCCCTCTACAAAAATGGGTTCCAGCAGATAGAGAAAGCTCTCAGGCAAATAATTATATGTGATAAAAGGTGGGCCAGTATCAACGGAAATGTTGAGTTAAAGGGGTATATTAGTTTCCTGGGGCTACCGTAATAAAGTACCACAATGTAGATGGCTTAGAACAACAGAAATTTATTGTCTTAAAGTTCTGGAGTCTTGAAGTCTGAAATCAAGTTGTTGGTAACACCATGCTCTCTCCAAAACCTGTAGGGAAATCCTTCTTTGATCCTTCTAGCTCCTGGTGGCTTGCTGGCAATCACTGGCATTTTTTGGAATGTAGAAGCCTCACTCTAATCTTCTGATGACACATGTCTTTCTCCCCGTGTTCTCACTTTGTCTTTCCTCTGTGCATGTCTATCCCTGTGTCCAAATTTCCCCTTTTTATAAGAACACCATTATATTGAATTAGAGCCCACCCTAATGACTTCATTTTTACTTCATCATCTTGGTAAGGACCCTATTTCCAAATAAGGATACACTCTAAAATACTAGAGGTTAGGACTTCATGATATGTTTTTTTGGGAGACACAATTCAACTCATAACAGAGGATAAAAGTGGGATGCTAGCAGCATCTGTTGTAATCTCTGATTTGCCTATAGTCTAGCAGGGAAAAACCAATAATATAAAGAAATAAAAGCAATGGATAGTATATATGGTGGTCATAGGTGCAAGGGGAAAAATAAAGAAGGGAAGTAGGGTATTTCTTTGTAGTCCCCAAAAGCATTTCTACACACAAAGTCAGGGTCAATAAATGTTTGTGAACATAATGACTAAATGTATAGCTAAAGAGTACATCACTATCCACATTATTATTTGCTGGATATTTAATATCCATCAGTGATGGTTCAATTAGTGTTCTGGGTTTCTGTGGAGCATTTGTCTCTTGTTCTTTTAACATATTTGTTTATTTATTCACTAATGACTTTTAACAGTTACATGTATTGCAAGTTGAGATCAGTGAAGTGATCAATTAGAAGTAAATTGTAATTCCTCTGAAGAATGATTTTGAGGAAGAAAAGTTAACATTTCGATATATATGTATACATAAGGTACCCTCCCAAAAAGCAATTTTTAAAAACAGCCTAAAAATGGAATGTCAACACAGAAATAGTCCCTGGTTTACTTAAGGTAGACACAGTGATTCCCCTTTCTATCATGGGGCTCTTAGTTGGTGCTTTTAGGATTGTTTTTTCAATCCATAATATCTCTTTAGTAACTCAGAAATGGACATTTTAATCAATGGAAGTATAATTATATGAAATGCACTGGCTTTGTTTCAGTGGTAGAAATTATAGCAATAAAAACTTTCTACCTCTGGGTATTGTGGGGAGAAAAATGGCATTAATTCTAAACACTGGGTAATCATTGAGAAGTGTTGTCAGAAAAAAGATGACAGAAAAATAACCTTGCTTATCTTCTTTGTTTCTTGAATAATTACCAGTTATTTTTTCAAAAAGGAACATGTCAGTGCTATAATCCCTTTCTATTATTAATTGGAAGAGAGACTGTTTTAATACGATATGACAGTCCCTTACCTAAACAACTGTTAACAATTTCTTCGCTCTACATTATTAGGTTAAGTCACCAGTTGTAGCTGTTGATGCCTGAGCGTCCTCTCTCAACTCTTTCAAATCTTGCTGCTTGGGTTCTGTACCCCAAGACCCATGGGATTCCACTCAATACTGCTGTTAAATTCACAGGAGTTTTTTTGTGTGTGTGTTTTTTCTGAGTGCTACGAAGCACAGTTTGAATGCCAGGGCTTTCAATTAAACCTTCTAGGTTTTGTGCTGGTGTTAAATAGGCCACCACTGGGGTTGGTTGCTTCTGATAAATGTAGAACTAAGGGAAGCTGTGGGGGTGTAAAGAAAGATGATCTTTTTAACCAATTTAATGGATAAAAAAGATTGAGCAAACTCCTATTTCTCTTGCTTGAGTTAGAATAGAAACATTGTAAATGATACTCTTAAACCACTGAATCTATCCACTGACAAAGGAAAAAGAAACAAATAGGATCTTTAATTGTGTTAGTTATTATATACATATAATATGTGAGTACATATATGAAAACAGGTAAGTCAAGCAATCCAGTCTTCAGAGATGATTTTATACTTAACAAAATTTCAGAGTCAAGTCACTTAAATGATTGTACTTTCTCCCTTTTCCTTCTAGCATTCCCTCTGGAGCAGCTATGAAGGGCCAAGTCAGCTTCCTCTAATTGTCATGCTCACTTAAAAACCTGGAGGAGAGCAGCAAAGCTCAGGGTGCCACCCATATCCCCTGGCCCTCATCATCCTCTGTGTGCTGATTGTAGGCATCCATGCCTTTCTTTCTGAGTGCTTTCTCTGGCAATGGAAAGAGAGCTCAGCTTATAAAAATGCAGGTGAGGGTCCTGGAAAGTCACTGTCCTCAGTGCACCCTTTTTGGGTGCAGTCCTCAGTCTTCTCTCTTCATATGACATGATTCTCAGTGAGGTGTGTTCTACATTCTTCCCCTGATGTCTTCAGCTGTATGGAGTTCCAGTTGTTCACAATGATAACCTGCCTATAATGCACCCAGTTTGGCATTCAGTCCTTCCCTTGTCTTCCCAATCACTCCCTTATTAACTTTTTTCCTGGCATCAGCACCACTCACCAACAAAACAACAAAAAAAACTACTACTGGTTCCTATATACTGGTATTATCATCACTACACAAGTTTTGGTGTTTTGAATATAAAGGAGGTCTTTGGCTTCTATAATTGAACTTTTTTTATTTCCTCAAAGTAATATTCGTAGCCAGTCCAGATTTTTCCTGGAAACATTTTAATATTGCTTAAAAAAAAAGAAAACAGATCAGATTGGTTATGTCAGCATTGTTCTGTCTTCTAATCCCAGATGGTCTTCCCATGCTCTCTTTTTTATAGGACTAAGTAAACCACTTGCTTCACAGCCCAGAAGTTAAGTAGCCCAGGTCATACAGGATTTGAGTTAAGGCTGTCCTGCCCAAAATTTCCTTCCCAGCTGATGCAGACACCAGCACGCAGTGTCTGCATCATTATGGATGAAATGAGACATTCACACAGACTACCGAGTCCAGTGGAGGAAAAGGGACAGTGTGGCTTTTCTCTCAAGGGGAGCAAAAGCCTTGGCCTTTGCTGTGACCGGTCTTTATTGGGTTTCTCTGCACATTACATGATAGTCATCATTTACTATGCACAGGTTCGCTTTAGGTGGTTACCTTTTACAGAAAACAAAAGAGCTAATGCTGCTAATCACATCACAGAAGAGGGATATTTGCAAATGAAAAGAGAAAAGTAGTTGAACCAGTTACACTCATCCTTGGAAGGCTTAGCATGGATTTTAGGAAGTTACTTTGCAGTAAATGTCCTCAATTCAGGGTGAGGGAGTTTTTTTTAGCAAGAGCAAGACTCAAAGTGGCCTAGCCACATTGCAGGTCTGATTCCCCACGGGAGAACTTATCCATGGGCGTGGGTCCTGTGCATCTCCTAGTGCGAGCTAGACCCATGCCATGCAGAACAACCTCCTACACCCAGCCCCTAAAACACACAGTCACCTAACAAGTTAGGGTTTTAGGTAGCCCAGTGGCAATTGGTTTGGTTGGAGGTTAGGTTCTTCTTGTCTCTTAAGCAGCACAGGGAAAAAGGAAAACCAGTGCCAGGGTCCAGGATGTTGCCCAAGCATCAAGCATGAATTTCCTATGGGCAAAATGGGTGAGTCCATTACTTTGTGTAGTTAGTAATCTTTCTGCAAAAAGATCACACCTCTGCAAAGTTACACCTTGGTAATTTAAGGAAGGAGTGTCCATAGAGTCTCCCAAATCTTAGAGGTGAAGGTAGCATGTCTTCCAAAAATTCAGTAAGCTATCTGTGGTCTAAAATATTCAAGTATTGACATACATACTCTGGTTAAAAGAATGCATGAATAATTATTAAACAATTGGTTTATGAACTGTGGAAACATAATGGTTTTCTGTTTACCCTCACAGAAATAATTGTTGAGCTCCTACTATGTACATAGTTTGAAAACTGGTCCTTCCACCATGCATTATGGGGCCTCAACAAAGCTCAGAAATGGGGATATATACTGCATCCTGGAGAATGGTTTGTCCCCTTCCACTGTAAGTTTTCTTGCCCTATGAAATTTGTGGAAGTGATTGTCATACTCAACTAAAACAAGCTTGCTGAACTAATAGGGAAACTAAGTTCTTATCCAAATGCAGCTCAGTTTTCATTCTCCTTTTATGACCACTGTCCCTAACATTGCCCAAGAACATCCCCAAATGATTCTTGATGACTAGCTATCATATATAAGAAGAGGTAAGATAACCCTTTATAGAAATGCTTTAACAATAGAACTATGACTTATAGGTCCTACAAAATCCAAATATTAGGTTGTTTCTTCCTCCTACCAAGTTATCAGTGGCCACCAAGGCCATGTAGATGGAATTGTCAAGGGTTAAAGATAGGCACTTACATAAGCCATTTCTCTTCATTTGTCCTATCAGGACAAATTAAGGAGTGGTTTATATGGAATAAAAAGGTAAAAAACTAAGTGCTCATGGCCAGTACCAGAGAAGCATGTTCCCTTTGACAGTTAAGGCCTTGTGGTAGGTAGAAGTTTCATATCATCAGGGAGGAAATAATGTAGAAACAGAACCCTCATATAGCATATATCTTACATACCTCTATAGGTATCTGAAATATAAAGTTAAGTAATAACAGATTTGGTTCTTGTGCCTTGTGATTCAAAGTGTGCAATGAGCCATATTAGAGTCAGCTGGCTCTCTTCCCACATCTACTGAATCATAATCTGAATTTTAACAAGATGTCCTATGTACCCTAAAGTTTGAAAAGCATTGCCCTAGCAGGGCTGTCCAACCCATGGCCTATGGCCACATGCAACCTAGGATGGCTATGAATGTGGCCCAACACAAAATCATAAATTCACTTAAAACTTTCTTTTTGCTTATCAGTTTTCATTATTGTTTGTGTGTTTAATGTGTGACCCAAGACTACTCTTATTCTTTCAGTGTGGCCCAGAGACACAAAAAGGTTGGACACCCCTGCCTAGAGTCTAAGCCTGTGCTGTCCAACACAGTAGCCAGCAGTTACCTGTGGCTATTAGCATTTGAATAGTGTGTAGTCTAAATAGAAGTTCAGTATGTAGCTGTTTCTCATATTCCACCCAGAGTTTTGGGTTTTAATCAGTAGGAGAGACAAGCTGTATAGTAAGCTTATTTTTCTTGGATAGCCAAGATATATAATTACAAATTTTCTAGTAACCACATTACATATTGAAGTAATAATATTCTGAATATATTGAGACCTCTAAAAAGTAACAATAGCAAATGGATTGTGGTTTGATGTCAGAATCTGAGTAATATGGGGTAGAGCTATATTTATATTTTCTTTGTTCAACTTGGCCTTCCATCTTGACCTGAAGAAGGGCCAAATCTCATAATTGCATGGCAAGCACTGAAAGCAAAATCTTAAGGGGGAATTCTGCCTTTTTGACTAAAGAACTAGTAATAGGGACCTCTGCATGCTGGAGATTGTTGGTGGAATCCTTCCATCTTCTTTTTTCACTTCTCTCCCACCCTGCCCAGAGCCTGCTGACTGAGCCATAAGTATGTAGTGGTGATATAAGGACCTAAAACCTTGGGAGACACATTGTCTCCTTATCAGAAGAACCAGAAAAAGATATTCCTGGTGTTCAATGATTGTGCACCGTACATGTTATTTTTCTCTTTTCTTTTACCACTTAATGTCAATTTAGCCTAAATTCAAGAACTTTAAAACATTGTGAGGTGGGGGACTAAATATCTAAGAAGGCTCTACCTTTCTGGTGAGGTGAATGAGGAAAAGGAGCCTCTGGGAACTGGAGAAATCCCAGGAGGACAGGGGTGAAAAAGTTGATCTTTAAATATTCGATATGTAATGACAACTCTTGAAATCATCCCTGAGTTGGTTATGTGTGGAATATCTCTGCCAAAGCATTGAAAAGGATTTGAGGACTGAAGTACAATATAAAAAAACCCAAAACAGATAAATTCAAAATAAGCAGTTCTCAGATGCATAATAAACTATGGGAAAAAATGCAAGAGAAAATGATACCAGCTAGAGAAAAGCAACACCTAACATAATGTGGTGAATAATTATTTTTTTTATTTGACACCCAAAGCAAAGGCAAAAAAAGTAAAAATATCCAAGTGGACTGTGTCAACCTAAAAAGCTTCTGTACAGCAAAGGAAACAATCAACACAATGAAAAGGCTACATGCCAAATGGGAGAAAATGTTTGCAAATCATATATCTGATAAGGGGTTAATATCCAATATATATAAAGAACTTATGTAATTCATTAGCAAAAAAATTCTGATACAAATCTGAACAGACTTTTTTTCTGAAGAAGACATAAAGATTGCTCACAGGTACATGAAAAAGTCCTCAACATCACTATTCTTAGAGAAATGCAAATCAAAACCACAATGAGATATCACCCCACACCTGTTTGAATGGCTATTATCAAAAAGGTGAGAATTTAAATTGGTATAGCCACTATGAAAAACAGTATAAAGATTTCTCATAAAATTAAAAATAGAACTACCATATGACCCAGCAATTCCACTTCTGGGTATTTATCCAGAGAAAGTGGGAACACTAATTCAAAAAGATATATGCACTCAGATGTTCATTGTAGCATTTTTTAAAGATAGGAAAAGAACTTATGTGTCTATCAATGGATTCAATGGATGAATGAGTAAAGAAGTTGTGCTATATATATATATATATATATATATATATATATACACACACACACACACACACACATATATACATATATATATCTCACACATATACACACACACATATATATATACATACTAGGATATTATTTGGCCAGAAAAAAAGAGAGAAACCTTGCCATTTTTGACAACAGATGAGGGCATTATGCTAAGTAAAATAAGTCAGACAGAGAAAGATAAGTATTATATGATCTCACTTATATGTGGAATCTAAAAAAAAAAAAAGAAAAAAAACCCAAGGCCAAACTAAACAAGCAGAAAAAACTGAGCCCACACATATAAAGAATAGATTGGTGGTTGCCAATGGTAAGAGTGTAGGGGTAGGGGTAGAAGGTGAACAAAATGAGTGGAGGAGGTTAAAAGGTACACACTCCCAGTTATAAAAGAAATAAGACATAATGATTTAATGTATAACATGGAGGCTATAGTTAATAATACTGTATTTCATATCTGAAAGTTTCTAAGAGAGTATAGCTGAAAATTTCTCATCATAATAAAAAAAATCTGTACCTATGTATGGTAATAGGTGTTAACTAGACTTTTGTGGTGATCATTTTATATATATACAAATACCAAATCATTACATTTGTATATCTGAAACTAATATGTTACGTGTCAATTACATCTATTAAAATAAAAAAATACCATGACAAAAAGAGATACTACCTTTTGACCATGCAGACTGTATTCCAGGAAACAAGAGTGATATAACATTCAAAAGTCAGAATTCACCACATTAAAAAACAAAAAAACAAAAATCTTTGTGACTTTTAGTTAAGCAAAGAGTTCTCAGATACATCAACAAAAGCACAATCCATAAGAGAAAAAATTGATAAATACTTTTTCCAAACTGAAACTTTTGCTCTTTGGAAGACCTCATTAGAGAATAAGAATTTATAGACTAAGAGGAAATATTTGCAACATGAGTATCTCTCTCTCTATATATATATATATCTATATGTATATAGATATATATATAGATATACATATATCTATATATATATAGATATATACATATATATATGTACACACACATATACACAATATATGAAGAACATTAAAACACATTAATAAGATAATGAACAACCAAATAAAATATACAAAATATTTGAATAGACACTTCACTAAAAAAATATCCAAATGGCACATAAGCACATGAAAAGATGTAGAGCACTATTAGCCATTAAGGATATGCAAATTAAAACCAAAATAAGTACTACTCCATACCTACTAGAATGGCTGCAATAACCAAAAACAATACTAAGTGTTGATGAAGATGTTTCACAACTGGAACCAAGACATTGCTTGTAGGAATGCAAAATGGTGCAACTACTTTGGAAAACAGTCTAGAAGTTAACTATGCATTTACTCTTTGACCTCCCTTTCCCATCTCACAACTGGTGTTTACTGAAGAGAAATGAAAACCTATGTTCACATCTAAACTTTTATACAAATGTTTATAAGAAGATTCATTCATAATTTCCAAAATTGGACACAACTAAATAATCTTCAGCTGGTAAAAATATAAATGGCACACCCCTAAAAAAAAAGGTACATTATTGATACTTGCCACAGATGGATAAAAACTTTATTATGCTAATTTTAAAAAGCCAGATTCAACACTGGCTGGTGTAGCTCAGTGGACTGAGAATGGGCCTGGTAGCCAAATGGTTCCATTTCTATTCCCAGTCAGGACACATGCCTGGGTTGCAGGCCAGGTCCCCACTAGGAGCCATGTGAGAGACAACCACATATTGATGTTTCTCTCCCTCCCTTTCTCCCTCCTTTCCCTTCTGTCTAGAAATAAATAAATAAACAAAATCTTAAAAAAAAAAAGCCAGACTCAAAGAGCTACAACTATATGACTCCATGTATATGACATCTGGAAAAGACAGAAAGGATGATTTCACGCATTAGTGTTACAAAGAGGTTAGAGTTGGGGTACAACTCTATGAGTACAAAGGAGGAGAAAGAGGGGTTTGAAGGGAATGGAACTGTTTAATGTCTTGACAGTGATGTTGGTTACATGATTCTATACATTTGTGATAGGCTCAATAATAGATCTCAAAGATGTTCACTTTTGAATCCACAGAACCAATAAATATGTTAGGTTACATGGCCAAGGGGAGTTAATTTTGTGGATATAATCAGAGTCTCTAATTATTTGATCTTAAAATAGGGAGATTATACTGGATTATTCAGCTGGCTCACTATAGTCACAGTACCCTTAAATGAGAAGGGGGGAGATTGAAAGGAGGTCACAGTGAAGTGATTGGAGAAGGGCTCAGCTTCCCTTGGGTGGCTTTGTAGATGGAGCAAGTGGGTGAAAGCCAACAAATGTGGGAAGCTGCAAAGTGCAGGGAAAGGGACCCACCCAGAACCTTCAGATAGTAACACAGCCCTGTCAGCACCTTGATTTTAGCCCAATTTGAAATGTGTCAGACTTCTGAGTTATACAACTTTAAGATTTGTAGAATTTGTACATTTGGAAAACTGTAAAATTTGTGTTTCAACCACTAAATTTGTATACTTTGTTATGAGAACAATAAAAACAACAGAGAATTGATTTGCCAAAACATACAGAATTGCCTATCAAAAGAAGTGAACTTTACCTCACATAAGTTAAAAAATAAATTGAAATGATTTAGAGTTATATATGTGGTTCACAGTATATTTCTATTGAACAGCACTGGTCTTTTAGACCAGCTCAAAAGTAAGAAACACCTTTTTATCCTGAGTATTTAGCACAGGGGCTGATATAAAACATCATCACTATCAAACATTTTCTGGACTCATATGTAAATTAGGAAAGCTTACTGGCATTGTACCCTACTTCTCTTTTTAAGCTTATGCTCCAGCCCCCTAGAAACATGTGCCTATCCCAACAACCTCTCTGATGCATTCTCATCTTTTTCATTTATTCCCATTTTTTGTTAAAGCCAAGGAAGATGCATGTAGATTAATCCACGATCTGAAAATGAATGTGAACACTGGAACATCATTTTACAAACCAAAGTTTAGTACATATGGACAAATACCAGTGCACTTGGGGTAAAAAATATCTGAAATGAAGATAGTCACAGAAAATGAAAGATTTAAGTTATCTGCAAAGAGTATGTGAGCACCTTGGATGAAAGGTGCTCTAGATTCAAAATGTAATTACTTTATTTTCTGAGCTCAGACACTCAGTGTTACTGAGGGGGTTATTTTTGATCAAGTAATTTTCAGTGTTTTAAATTCTTTAGAAGATGCTTAAGCATTTCATATTTTTGGTTTTCAAAAGAACAGAAAAACTGTTTTACTCAGATAGCAACACTATATGTAAAAACAACATCTTTAATGTCTGGAATACAGAAAATCAGAAGGAACTATGCAGATTGTTAATTTCCAGGGCAAAAGTTGGGCCACATGTTTCAAGGAAATTCTTTGCTTTTTGGAAGATTTAAAAGCAAATAGTGTCCCTTAAAGAGGGACTATAGGTATCCTGAAAATTGCAGGTATAATTTATGTGTGTTTCTTCCTGGAAAGAAGGAACAAACCTTTTATAAGCATCATGAAGATGTAACAGCTACTACTTTAGAAGATGTGTAAAAGTCCACTGGGGGAGAAGAGTTATTTTGTAGATATTGCTCACATACTACTTTCTCAAAATGTGTTTTGTAGGACAATGGTCTAAAATATTCAAGAGGAAAAGGATTCCATGGTGAAATCATGAAAAACATATTCTACTAGATGTACCTTTGGAGATTCTTAATACACATCATTGTAATTTTTATATTACAAGTCTTGACCAAATTATTTGATAGTAAAAACTACCAGGTTCCAACTCTCCGTGTAGATACATTGTTGGTGCATTGTGTAGACACATCAAATCCAAAACAGTGTATTTCTTTGTTTTAAATCTTCCTTGAAATCTCATGCATTTAAAAAATTTACAACTGTTAATTCTTTTGATCCCTAGAAAGAAGACATCTACCAAAAAAGGCTCCTGTTGGCTAACTGAGGTCAAATTTAAAAATGGAGCCTAGCAGCCACTGCTACAGAGGGGTTTCTCGTGCACTTCAGAGAGAAGCCTGCACCACGCTGCCTGCTCCCTGCACTGAGCTAACTGCCTACCTGCACTGTATTTCTACTGTCTGAGCCAGCCTTTATAAAGAAGTTCCTGGAATTTTATTTTAACTGATAGGACTGATTGATTTTTCCTGTCTGATTAGAGCTGCACAGCTATAACCTATCTGCATATTCGCCAAACAATGTGGTTCCATTTTGACAATCAGGACAGTGCCTTTTGGACCAATCAAACTGTGAGGATTCAGAGCCCTCACTTGCATGAGGATCGACCAGGGGTGGGAACTTGTCTTTGTATAAGTCAGAGCCTCTCTTTCTCAGAGAGCACACTTTCCCTTTCTACTGAAGACTGAGGGCCGTGCTACCCTGGTTAGAGCTGAATCACCAGAGACATCTTGCCAGAGAGGGACAGAGCAGACCAGAGCAGACTAGAGCAGGCCAAAGCAGAGCAGGCAGAGAGGACCAGAGCACAGCTGTTAGCTGGAGAGGGGCCTTGCCCCAGGTCCTCCTCACAGCCTCACAGCTGAGCTGTTCCACAGCCATGCTGCTTCATAATTGAGTGGACACACCCTGAGTTGTTCTGCAACTCACAATTTAGCTGTTTGCATGGAATGAAGTTTTGTTCTTCACTGCACCCCAATTTGAGGGTTCCTTTTAATGTTGAATTGGCACCAATGACCATCAGCTGACATTCCTTAAAGAAAACTGTTTACTAAAAAGAAAGCTATTTGTACATGAACAAAGAATATTTTAGCCTATGAATGATTTTTGGCTAAATATTAGTCTATAATATCTATTAAAGGGAGCTTCTCACTTAGGAGGGAACTATGATTTTAATTCCAATTTTGAATAACAGAACATACATACTATATTGTTTCTTCTCTATATTTCCTAGGAATCTGGTAGAAAACTTACTAGTCTAAATTACTTACTAAATCCTGGGCAGTTTAAGGCACTTCATACATGATCTCATTTAATCCTCATCACATAATATAGTATTATAAGGTGTGAGATCCCAGGTTCAGAGAGATTAAGTAAATTCTTATTCAGCTTTATTGAGATACAGTGCATATATAACAAAATTATCCTAGTGAAAGCATACATACAATTCAGTGGTCTCTACTATATTCACAGAGTTGCACAAGTATCACCAGAACTGAGCCTTAGAACATCTTAACAACCCATACTCTTCTCTCTGTCCCTGTGGATTTGCTTAGTCTGGATATTTCATGTAAATAGAATCACACAATATGTGCTTTTTTGTGACTGGCTGCTTAGCACAATGTTTTTAAAGTTCAACAGTGTTGTGGCATGTGTGAGCACTTCATTAATCTTTGTAATTGAATAATATTACATTGCATAGATTGCCACATTTTATTTATCTATTCATCAGTTGATGAACATTTGGGTTGTTTCTACTCTGGCTATCATGAATAATACTACCATGAACAGTCATGTACACATCTCTAAGTGGACACTTGTGCTTAATACATTGGAGTATTTACCTAGGAGTGGAATTGTTGGATCATATTGGAACTCTGTGTTTGACTTTTAAGGCACCGCCAGATTGTTTTTCTTATCCTGAATACTCTCCATTGATCTCAAATCTGCCATTAAGCTCTTCTAGTGTATTTTTTTTTATTTCATTTACTTAATTTTTTAACTCCATAGTTTCTATTTTGGCTTCTTTTTATAATTCTCTTTATTGATATAATTTATTTGGAGAGACACCATTATCACACTTTAATTCTTTAGACATGATTTCCTTTAGTTCTTTGAAAATATTTATAATAGTTAACAGTTTTTATCTGCTAAGCCAACACCTGGACCATCTCAGAGACATTTTCTATTGGCTGTTTTCTCTTGTATAGGTAAGTTTTCTTTTGAAACAGGTTAGTAAGAAGGTAGGAAAATTCTTTGGCAAGTGGTATAGAGAAACTGAGGCAGATAGCTTAACACAGTGGCCGAGCAATTTACAGGCAGATACAAAAGGTAACATCCCTAGAGATAACATCCAGGCCTCAGTTGTGTTTCAGCTTCAGGCCCAGAAAAGCAGCAAAACCAGGTGGGCAAGGCCAGAAGCAATTGCAATGAATAAAGATGCCATGACTTGTCACTGACCAATCAGTAGAGACCACCACCCTGAAAGGGCACACCTGGTGAACTGAAGAATATTCTACTGAAACCCTCCCCTAAGATTCCTGCCTGCAAGAAAGAGATAAAAGCTTCAAGACAAAGGACCCAGCATGTGTACTCTCCCTCTGGGGAGCAGCCCATGCCATCTCCTTTCCCTTCTTCCCCAACTTCTTTCCCCACAGGCATGCATATGATAAACTTCAAGGCAGTGGGTAGCTGGCAACTTGCCCCAGGCTAATTCCTGAACCTGTCCCCAAAGCCCCCTATTCTCTGATTTACCAGTGAGCTAAGGCAGCCCAGCTTAGGCTCTTCTGTTGCTTCTTCTATGCTAAGCCCTTCCTTGATGCACTGTCCCCAGCTTTAATAACTGTATCCTTATAGTCACCTGGACTCATGTTGTGAAATCTTCCCTGCACCAAGTCAAGAACTGACACACTACAGCTGGCCCTTGGCAGCCCAGCTCAGGGCCAGGCAGCTGTCCAGGAACACTTTTGTTTGTTCACATGTCTCACAATTTCTTGTTGACATCTCCTGTAGATAATATATTATAACAACTCTGTATCACATTTCTCTCTCACTTCCACCCTTATTTGTTGTTGTTGCTATTTTTGTTTATTTTTGCTTTTCTTATTGCTGCTTTTTTATTTAGTAACTTTCCTAAACCAAATCTGTAGATTGTATATTCCCCACGGTGTGTTCCTTGAGTTTACTGCTAGCTTTCAAAAAATTCTTGTTTTTATCTTTAAAAACAAGAATATTTGACTCAGAGGTGACTCAGAGAGATCACCTCTGAGTCAAAATATTTTAGTGGTCAGATGGATCACTAATGGTCAGTGGTCAGATATCCTTAATTGCCTTGAGACAGTGCGTCTTCCTTCAGTGTTTTGCCAATGGGATCTGTTTTGAAACACATCTTCAAACCTCAGACATTACAGGAGTGAGCTTGAGCTTTCACTGCCTGCTTGCTTAGTGCTCTGAGGTCAGTCAGAGTTGAATGTCTGGGCTTCCTTCTTCCTCCTGTCTTTCTTGAGCTCAGGGACATCCCTAGTCATGAATGCAGTCCTGCACAGTGTTCTAGAGTCTCGGGAATATGTCAGAGCTTTTCAAAGTTCCCTATAGTCGCCTACTTCTCTAAATCTTTTGAAACTTTTATCTGGATCTGGAGAATATTATGCTAAGCAAACTAAGTCAGTCAGAAAAAGCTAAGAATCGTATATATTCAGTCATATGTGGGATATAAAATTGAAATTCACAGACACAGCCAACAGTATGGTGGTTACTAGAGGAAGGGAAGTGGGGGTTGAAAAGGGGAAGGGGGGCCAATTATATGGTGATGGAAGATGATGTGACTTTGAGTGATGGGAACACAATGCAATACACAGATTATGTATCATAGAAATGTATACCTGAAACATATATGACTCTATAAACCAAAGCCACCCTAATACATTTTTTAAAAAGGGATATAAAGTGTAGAGACACACACACACACAAATAAAATAAATAAATATATAAACTTTTATCTGGGCTCTGTTTGCCTCAACTGAAGTTATAGGCTTAAGCAGCTTCGAAGTTGCAGAGTTACCAGTAGATTGCTTCTGTTTTCACAAAAGCCCTGAGGATAGGACTGTGCTTCATGTGATCTGAGTGTTAAGTCAAATAATAATCACTTGAGCATGAGGATTTTCCAGGGAGCTGCTAATTTTGTCAAAAGATTGGCTGCCTTCTGGAGATGGAGCTGCTTTTGCAGGAGCTCCAAAAGAGGTCAGCAGGGAGGTTGTAGGCATTTCCTGGCCACCTGACCCCTGAGCCCGGAAGGGAGAGGGATGAGAATATTCACAGGTGAAAATATGCGGACTCCACTATCTCTTAATGAGATTCATTAGTTTTTCCTGAATAGATTTTTTATTTCATTCTATGCCTTTGGTTAACTTAAAAAGTTATGAAATGATCAAGTCTGATTGTTTCCCTTGTATTTTCATCATGACAGAGTAGGTTCATTGAGGTCCATGCTTTACCATTCTAGCTTAATAGTCTTAAACTCAAGTATCTCAGAGTAAAACACCCACGCTGTTAATCCCTGTGCTTAGTCAATAAATGATTTAATGAATATAAAGTGCTTAGGAGAGTTTCAAGCACACATTGTAAGTGTTATGAGCATGTAAGTCTGTGAGTGTTAGCTATTATTATCATTGTTCTCTCTGTCCTCCTCAGGATGGCTGCTCTTCTGCTTTGATGTTTGGAGCACAAAGAATAGTAGACTATTTGTGGCTGCAACTCTATGAAGCCATTGATAACTGAGGACAGCATTTAAGATGTATTTTAAAAGATTTGAGCCCTGGCTGGCGTAGCTCAGTGGATTGAGTGCGGGCTGTGAACCAAAGTGTCGCAGGTTCGATTCCCAGTCAGGGCACATGCATGCCTAGGTTGCAGGCCACGGCCCCCAGCAACCACACATTGATGTCTCTCTCTCTCTCTCTCTTTCTCCCTCCCTTCCCTCTCTAAAAATAAATAAATAAAATCTTAAAAAGAAAAGATGTATTTTAAAAGATTTAACACAATCACTAATAAGCAGTGCAAAGAAATTCAACTCCCCAAGCTAGCACATTGCAGACGGATAGCTTCTACTCAAGTCTGGGAGTAAATAAAACTACGGTTAGATTAAGCAGTCAGTGGGAAGAAATTTAGTGGAATAACAAAGGTACTAAAATGTTCTTAGGGTCTCTATACTTCAACTAACCTTTTTAAATTAAAAAACTTATTTTACTTTTTAAAATCTAATTGAATGAAAAAATACCACTTCTCATTTTTCTTTCTAAATTCTATTGCTGGGGGTTGTGGCTACTCATAGTCAAGTTGCTAACAAGAGCTCATTTTGGTTAGAAGAGTGAAAGACAGGAAATGAAAAGCCTCCTGAATTACATCATTTTACCCACATCTTATAAATGTAAAACAACTCAATCTATATAGTATTTTTAACTGGTAGCATGACCTCTGTGACAGGAAATACCTGTAGAGATGTGGCTAGAAGAGGATTTTTTGTTTGTTTGTTTTTAGCATGATATAGAAAAAGAATGTTTTAATTTTTGAAAAATAAAAAGTTACTGAAAATAACAAAAGCCCTTGATATTCTAAGATATACTGACATAAAATCCATGGGTGATAGATTTATTAGCCTTAATGATTAGATAAGACAGGCTAGGTATCTCTATTTATCAGTGAAGTGGAAATCCCAGTTTTGGCTGACAGTGAAATTTAGACAAGAAGAGACAATTCTGAGAAAATGGTGGGCTATCGTGTCAGGAGCTTATTTGTGTAATAAGTTTTTATTTTATTTTTGTTTGGAAAGAAGCATAAACAGGTGGATTTTTACAAGGATTTCTGGAGAAAGGGAACTGGTCATCCTGTTCTTTTGACCCAGGTGTGCTGCATTTGTACTCAGGTGGCAAAGTTTGGAAAAGGAGCATTCATTCCCTCCCCTCTGTAGGTTGCAGTGCCTCCAGAAAATGCTGAGTGTTCCTTGGTTTGAA